ATATTGACTTTTACTCTCCCATAATAACAGGAATTTATCTTTTTAGGATGGCACATTTCTGGTTAGAGACAGCTCTAAAAAAACAATAACCAATCCATATGTCCTCATGGTGTTGTACAAAGATAAAGTTTACAACATCCAGATCCGTTATCAGAAGGAAAGTCAAGTTTACTTGTTGGGAACTGGACTCCGAGGGAAAGAGGTAAGGATTTCAAATTTCAACATTTTCCCACAGTCTTTTTTTATGCCACTCTGCATGCCTTCATGGAGCAATCTTTGGGAGTCCATGCTGTATGGCAAATTTAGAATTAAATCACATTAGTGAGAAGCCCTTCATTTATTGGAAGAGAAATAAAGCAAAATCTTTACAACGGTTACTTCTGCCATAGGATTCTTTCTTGTATATCTTTTATTCCAAATAATCATATGTATAATTTTCAAAAGCAAGAAAAAGTATGTTAACTTAAAAAAACCTATTTAGATGGTGTCAAAGGCAAGTTCCTGCTATTATTCACCTCTGTGACATAATTTTAATGTAGGTTGCATTTTAAGTTGACACCACCTGGAAAAGAGGAAAAATTAGAATATTTGCTGGGGTGATTATTCAAATACTTGGCTCATTTCTTAACAAAATGGAGCTTTGGCCTTGTGAAGATGGCCAGATTGCCAAAGAAATTCTTCTCTGTTAGGCCAAGGTTTAGATTCTCATGCCGTCACTTTTTGAGTGATAATCAGAACTGATGGAAAAAAACCCTCAGGGCTAGTTTTTTGCAAAGGAAACTAACAACTGAAGGTAATGCCCCAAACAAATTCTAAGTTCAAAGTTCCAAGAGGAGGACCAGCTGAATCAAACATGTCCAGAATGAGAAACAGCTTACCCGTAACTTCGGCTTCACATACTTCTGTCATGATAATGATAATGAATAGAAAAAAAAAATGCATACTTGTGGTCAAATGTTTGAATTACTGGTTGGCAGTAGATAGAGCTGCACAGACCCTATAGAAGCAGAGGTATTTGCCCTTCAAGATGTATCTTGGTACAGTGTGGAAACACACAAGTTCAGGCCAACCACTCATTGCAGCTCCCATGGAGGCAGGCACCTAGTAGATTAGTCTTCAAGGAAGTGCATTATCCTGTTAAGGTTCTTAGGTGAGTTGTGACCCATGTCTAGAAAAATGAATTAGGCTTTTCCCTCTCTAGCAAGCAATCAAGGCTGGGGCGATCCAGGCTATGGCTGCAAAGACTTGCCTGCTGAGCCCTTATGAGTGTGAAGGTGGCAGTGAGAACACAGCAGAGAGATCAGGAAGGAACCCCTGTGCCATGCTGCATATCCCACCTCTAGACACCATGAACTGTGTCTGATCTCCTGAGTCCTTATACTTCCTAACACTATTAATGACTGGGGGTGAAACAGAGATACAGAAACCGAAACCAAACCCAAAAACAGAGCAACCCGAGGCAAGAATATTGTAATCGTGACTATGTACATGACCCCTTCATATGAAGTTAAAAATATATGTGTTTCAAATTACATATATATATAAAAATATATATATACACACACACACACACACGCACATATTTTGTCTTTTTTTTTTTTTTTTTTGAGATGAAGTTTCCTTCTTGTCACCCAGCTTGGAGTGCTGCAGTGGTGCAATTTTGGCTCACTGCAACCTCCACCTCCCAGGTTCAAACAATTCTCCTGCCTCAGCCTCCCAAGCAGCTGGGATTACAGGCGCACGCCAGCAAGCCCAGCTAATACTTTTGTGTTTTCTAGTAGAGACAGGGTTTCACCATGTTGGTCAGGCTTGTCTCAAACTCCTGATCGCAGGTGATCCACCCGCCGTGGCCTCCCAAATTGCTGGCATTACCAGCGTGAATCACGGCACTTGGCCCATATTTTATCTTTTATCTATGGTTTGTTGGATGTTTATGGGAAATTTTTTTTCAAAGTTCTATAGCAGAAATCATTAAACTAATTGCCACATTTACATTTTTTCCCACAATCCTCATCACTTGAAGAGGCAGGATATATTATGCAGATAAAAAACTGAAGGTGAAGTTCCTGCTTTTCATTCCAATGTTGACTCATCTCCCTATCTTGACTCTTTCAGGACTTTCTGTCTGTGTCAGATATTATTGACTACTTCAGGAAAATGCCACTTCTGCTCATTGATGGGAAAAACCGAGGTTCCAGATACCAGTGCACATTAACGCATGCAGCAGGGTACCCATAGCAAGTTATAGCCGAGCAAATGAACCATCCTCCTGCCTCTGTTGCCAACACGAGATCAACCAGCCTTGGTCAACGGACAAACACTTAGGACTGAACTGAACCCCTCCCCATGAACACAAGGGTTTTATCCTTCCCTTTAAAAACAGTGTTTGAAATGAAGACTGTCAAATATCCCATAATTTATTTATTCTTCTTCAATGTTTGTAAAGTGCATAAGTCATGTTCACACTTGAAGTCTAGTAGTGCACTGTAATAATTCATTTTAAAAGTTTTTTTAATGCCCATTTCAAAATACAATAGTTTACACAGCTACAGAAACAATTTGGGGCAAGTTTTAAAACACTGAAACAGTAATAGTTATTGGTATCACATAAAACTGATTTTCTTACAGCCAAACCTCTGTCAGTCAGAGGCATTCATTAGTTTTATACATGTAATTTGAAAATTACTAGACCTCATTTTCTCAGCAGCAATAATTTAAGAGGCTTCAAAAATATAATTTCACTCTTACTTATTTGGTATTTTTTTCCTGGGGGGATTTTTATGTATTTTTTTTATGAAAAGATAAATGCATGTTGAGATAACTTCTGGGATTAAAACAGTCTTTTGCTTTACTTTTTTTGTTTCCTAAAACAACTTTATTGACTTTTAGTCCATACTGTTATATTTTCATCTTAAAGAAAATTTAAACTACAAATACCAAAACATTTTAAATTTAGGGATGAGACTTTGGTGTATCGTGGGTCTATGTTTAATGAATACATCTGGGGTTAAATTGGTGTTTCTTCACATCTCCACACCCACACTAACCATTACACCTCCCCACCAACCTTCTCTCAACCCCAAAAGCATTGTCCAGGGACATAGATTTTTACCAAAGGCTCCCTGGGAGGATGAGGGAGCAACACTTTAGATAAATTTGATCAGACTTTCTTATTAGATATGGCTCTTCTATCTCTTGTTATCCCCCTGACAGCTCTGCCATAAAATCCCTTCTCCTCATCCTTCCCAAACAGGTTGTGTAAGTGCTTTGAAGTAACTAAACTCTTTCCTTCAGTTTACAAATCTCACTTAACAAAAAATATAGGCATTCAGCCAGATTGAAAAACTGGTATTCAGTCAAATAGTGACAATCAGTTGTTCTTCAAGTTTTTCCCTTTGGGACCTTGGTTGTTATTGCACAACTTTTATTAGCAACAATTTTTGGTATCTCTGCTTAATCTGCAAGTTTTCGAAATGGAAAAGAGTATCTTGCATCTTCATTCTCATGAGCTAATAAAAGGGGTATTGGAAGGAATCTAAGAAGTCACCATTTTAAAACTGATGATATGTTAAGATAAGGAGTATGCGGAATGTAGAGACTTTTAACTGGTAAAAATGATGTTTCACAAAATCTCATCCTTAATAACCAGAAGTTCTCAGTTAGGGTCCAAAACTTGGGAGTTCTAAGGCTGAAAACTCTGCATTCATTTACATGTCTATACAATAGGCTATTCAGCAAGTGTTTACTTAGTGGCTCTTCTGTGGTAAACAAGTGAGCTAGGTGCAAGGTAATAAGGATAGCATACACCACAGGTTCTAGTATCGAGTAAGCTCAACTTGTCTTGCTTCACCGTATTCTATCCTTACGATTCAAAAATATCTAAAATGAAGGACCTGATCGATTTCAAAGCAACTATTTGGTAGTGAATCATGTTTATAAAACAAACCAAAGCTCATTTTAAGTCTCTTAGTGGAAAGGGCCATTAGGATTAAGATGTTCTATTCCACGGCTATGACTGAAATCAGTATTGGGAAGCTAATGTTTTCATGACTAGCATTCTCTCTCTGTTCAAGCACTGGCAACTCCTTTTTGCCGGGCCTTGCCTCTTTTGGCCACAGGCCTGTATATGACTCCAGGTGCATCAATCACAGGTGCTCAGAACTCTGCTCAGTGATAAATAGCTTACTAAAGCTGGGTCAGTCAGGGTCACTCTCTGGAATGTTAAACATGAAGCCTGAGACAAGATCTCTCTTTTTTTTTTTTTTTTTTTGGAGACGGAGTCTCGTTCTGTCACCCAGGCTGGAGTGCAGTGGCATGATCTTGGCTCACTGCAACCTCCGCCTCCCGGGTTCAAGCAATTTTCCTGCCTCAGCCTCCTGAGTAGCTGGGACTACAGGAGCCTGCCACCACGCCCAGCTAATTTTTGTATTTTTAGTAAAGATGGGGTTTCACCATGCTGGTCAGGCTGGTCTTGAACCCCTGACCTTGTGATCCACCCACCTCGGCCTCCCAAAGCACTGGGATTACAGGCATGAGCCGCTGCGCCCGGCCAAGATCTCTCTTTTATCTGGGGTCCCCAAAAGGCAATGCTGTACACTTGGAGCTGCCTGCTGCCCTGCAACTATTCCCATTTATCAATTATCTGGAAGAACCAGTCTACAATAGAAGAGAATGAAGCCAACACACAAAAACACAGTAAAAGGATAAACAAATTAGTGGGATCCCTGAAATCTATTCCAACCATGGGCTTCCAAGTCACATGACTCAATATAATGCTTCAGCTGGTTGAACTGTGCTTGGCGTTCACTACCAGGAGAGTTCTGACTAATATGAACCATCAATTAATAATTTAGTAGCTCTCTTTCAACCTGAGCCAAAATCAAGCATAAGCTAAAGGATAAGCAGTGACCCACGGCCAATTTCCTATGTCATACGCTTGCCATTACTGAAGTAAGTTAAGCCATTCTTCAAAACATTAAACAGCCTTCAAGAACATGAACTGCTTGTTTACAACATTATTTTTATTTTGTTTTAAATTATACATATACAAATTAGTAAACTCAACTCTCCCAAGTATTTGTTACTTCAACAATAAAAACAGAAACTCGTAACAAATAAGAAATCAGCAGAAAAACTGTTAGAAACAAGGGATATATCTGATATTTTAGACTCTTCAAAGAGGGGGTTGTTTTCTTTCTGCTTCTGTTAAGTTCTCAGTCTTGACGGGATGATTAAAATGTAGGATAAGGTCACAAAGCAATAACTGGGAGAGCTCTGTAAAACAAAACAGGAGATATTATATTGTAGCACATATGTCATTAAAAAAACTACTACTATTGCTTTAAGTAGCTATTTCTTCCTAGTTCCTAATTTAGTTTTTCCCAAGTGATTAGTGATAAAACCACAATTTAAGTGTGTCTCATTCTGACTTAAAATAAGATTTATGTATTAAAAAATAAGCATGACATAAAAACTTACTAAAAGTGTGCTCTTTAGCCCAACTTCTCCGCTATATTACTAAACTGCAACTTGATTTACAGAAATTTGATTTATATGGTTTTAACTTATTTTTACCTATATTATACATGCATATAGTACCAAGAATCAGATAAGTCTAAGGCACATTACAAGAAATTGCAGTTCCAATCTCTCAGAGGCAACCAATTTCAATTTTTTTTTTTGTTTTTTAGGCTCATTTTGCTTTTGCTGCTTTGGTCGTTTCAGTGTGTCTGTTTTGAGTATTGTTATTGGGGGGAGGGGTGTGATGGTGTTTACTTCCATATCTCTAAATTTTTTGCAATTTTTTTTTTTTCAATTTTCAGTGTTACCTGCCTCTGACACAGAAGATTAAGAGACAGCTCTTTCACACACCCTCTTCTCTCCCAATATACTTCAGGAAAAATTTTTGCTTAACTCAATTATCTAATGTTTAAATGTTAATTATACAAATACTTTTCAGAGCTGAGTCTTGTCATATGACATTTTTCCTTCCTGCACGCAACCCACCAGAGTTAATGTGTTTTTTCATTGCTGCAATATCAGAAATAATATTGCTGCATTATCAGAAATGTCCCCCAATTGAGTAAATTTGCTCTTGGGTTATTCAACACCTTAGCTATGCTATTGTTAAACGTCTCTCCTCTCCTGGAGCCTTCTGATTTGCTCCAATATGAACTGATTGCTTATTAGCACTGCTGTACAGTTGGTATCTTGGGAACTCCCTTCACCAATATCCTTGAGACTCCTTTTATCCATTCTGTGGAGTGCCCTTTCCCCCAAATTCCTGTGTCTCTTTTTGATCTGTTCCCTTGTTTGGTGACACATAGGCTCAGTAACTATCGGAATAAAATTATATGTCTGAAAATTTCTCTACACTAATCTTTAACTAGAAGGTTGACTCGCTATGGAAATCTAGATTGGAAACAATATTTTTTCAGATTTCCAAAGACACTGCTGCATTGCTTTCTAGGTTCCAGTGAAGCTGGAGTCATATGAGAACTTTCAAATGATTGTTTTGTTTTCAGAAGCTTTACAGTTCTTTTTGTTCTCTCAGTAGACTGAAATTTCACAACACTCTGCCTTGGTATGAGCTTATTTTCATCCACTGTGGTGGACTCTTTTCATTGTAGAAACTCATGCCCTTCAGCCCTGGAAAATTTTCTCTATTTCTTTAATGAATTGCCCGTCATTCATTGTCTATGTTCTCTCTTTCTAACACTCTTATTTGTTGGATGTTGGACTTCCTTCACTTATCTAATCCTTCTCCTCCCCATCATCAACACTTTCCATCTCTGTTTTGTTTACACTCCAGAGGAATTTCTTTATTTTACCTTTCAACCTATCAAGTTTTTCATTTCTACAGTCACACTTTTAATTTCCAAGAGCTCCTTCTTGTTCTCTGAATATTTTTTATAGTATCTGGTTCCTTTTTCATGGATACAGTATCTTCTCTTCTCTCTGAATATTAATAATTTCTTGAAGTTTTCATCTCCCCTCATTATTTCTGTTTCTTCCTCATTGAATCTGTTGATTTTTTCTCTGCTTTTCATATAAGATGTGCTTCTGAAATATCTGTTGTGTCTTAGTTGCCCATATTTAAGACTGTGACACTAAAAAGACAATTGGAAGTTCTGCACCTGTGGTACTCAATAATGTGGGATGATCTGGCTGGGTTATTTTGTTGGGAGAACCTCTGCTATTAGTATCTTTAGATCTTTTACCTTGGACTGGTCAGATTCCTGAGAGAAAAATCTACTTGGAGGGTATAAATCTGGCTGCCAGTATTTTGGTAGCCCAGTGAAGAAAAAAAAATCCTGGGAGTCTTGTAATTTGGTATGTAAACTTTGTTTCAATATCCTTCTTTACAGTATAGTACTTTCCCTCAACCTATGACTAGTGACTCCAGGGTAGATATCCTTGTTTTAACCTCAAGTCTTTTATCACAGTGAAGGGATAGCTGCCCAGCTATGCAGAGGGCAGAAGAGACCTCAGGGATCTACAATTCTTATATATTTAACTAGTCCTCCTGTTATTATTCAAATTTCACCCCTACTTCCAGAAGATTCTGGTGCCACCATGAATTGAGTCGTAGGGGCTATTTTTGGCTTTACCCAACCAGCTTAGGGTTCAGATTTTCAGACTCTGGGGTTCAGACTTGTCTATTTGCTTCTCCATTTGCCTTTTGTTTTGTTATCTCTTATTGGAATCTCTTTACTTGTAGATTTTTGTCTCTTTAAAAATCAGTTAAATTTAAATCTCAGGTCTACCACTGACTAGTTGCTTGACCTTGAAAAAGTTAAATCTCTCTATTTACACATCTGTAAATGCCAACGGCAACAGTTCCTACCTTATACGATTATTATGAAGACAGTTCATTTATGCAGAGTTCTTAGAAGAGTCCTGGATTACGGTAAATGCTGTAAGGGTTGGCTGCTGACATTATTATTTAGGGGATGAAGTGAGGGTGCACAGAGTGTTCATTTAATCCTCTACATTTACCAGAAGTCTACCTTCCTAGTGTAGCTCTACAGGTCCCTCAGAGCCTAACTGCCTGACCTACCATACAATGTCTCAAGAAAACATCTCTCATAGTTATTACATTTTATTTCAGGAAAGATTATTCTCCAAACTAGAACAATTAGAGTTTGGGGGGAATCTAAAGCTTAACTGTTTTAAATGAGTTCAAGCATCCAGAACCATTTATTCATTTAATAAACATTTTTCAAGAATCTAATCAATCCAGCCACGGTGTTAAGTACTAGAAATACCCGTAAGGAGCTTACAGTTGAGCAGGGATAAGAAAAGTAAGGAAATATGCAATTATAAAATAGTATAATGGGTGATAGCAAAAGGCAGAAAGGATAACATGCTGGCTCAAAAAAAGTTTTCCAATGTAAGTGACCTTGACTACTAGCAGTTAATCTGGTGTGTTGGAGATGGGGTATAGCAATGGGATTTCAGAAGGACAAGTATGTGTTGAAGCAGATACAGAAAAGCACTTGCGGATATGCAAATAGTTCAGTATGGCTAGAGCACAGAACATGCAGGAAGAACAGAGTGAGAGACTAGAGAGGAAAAGAGGGGCCTGATCTGAGCAGGTCATATAGTCCATTCTAAGATGTTTAGACTTTATTCTAAGGACAATGGTGAGTCAGTGAGGGTTTTCTGCAGATTGACATTTTAGAGGGAGAATCTTCACTGTGGTGTTGAGGCTGGTTTTGAGAAATGATGAATTAAAGGTAGTCAGATTTCTTTATATGCACTGCAAATTTGTGAAATACATAGCATAAAGCACTTTCCAAACTTATTTGGCCATAAGAACATGGACTCTGTTCTACCGTACACCATCTATTAACATCTCTTGAAACAGCAGGGTTCTCAGATCAAAGTCCAGGAAATGCTGTCCTAGGGAGAATACACGGAAAAAGCATAATAGGCACTCACTATTTGGTGCCTAACTAACGGCCACGCCCTCTTCTTCTTGGTGTCACAGCTTGATTTCGTTTGAGGTGTTCCTTTCCCCAGCTCCTGTAGTAAGTTCTGACTGGTCCAAACTGGTCTTGGCAATCCCAGTCCCCTTAGCTGTGGCTGCTGTAAGCATCAGCATATGATGCAAATCTGGCCAATGAAAGGGAAATGTGCTGGAGGGATCTGGGAAAAGACTTATAAAAAGAGACTGTCTATATATCACCACCTCTGAAGGTAATGACCATGAGGAGTGATAAAGAGAGTGAACATGACGGAGCAGAAAGATGGAAAGAGCCTGGTCCCTGACAAAATCTTTAAACCTCTTAATTAACTTTAGGGCTGGGCTACCTTGGATCTTCTTGTTTTTCCTTATTGTATAAGTCAGGTTAAATACAGATGTAGGCCTCATAACCGACACAAGCTATCTTTAAATACCCAAGAGTTGTTTTAAAAAGAATAACTACATATTCAGTGTAGTTTTCATGGTTAGAAACAGGAATCTCAGGTGAAAGCAATAGGAGAACAGATTTCAGCTAGCCCGTGAGAAGGAATTGTTTAAAATGGAATGGATTGACTAGTGAGACAGGAAGTTCCCCAGAATAAGAAATGTTTGGTCAGGGATAGATAACACCTAGAAATATTCAATCATGGCCAGGTGCGGTGGCTCACGCCTATAATCCCAGCACTTTCGGAGGCTGAGGCAGGCGGATCACCAGGTCAGGAGATCGAGACCATCCTGGCTATCACGGTGAAACCCCGTCTCTACTAAAAAATACAAAAAACTAGCCGGGCAAGGTGGCGGGCGCCTGTAGTCCCAGCTACTCGGGAGGCTGAGGCAGGAGAATGGCGTGAACCTGGAAGGCAGAGCTTGCAGTGAGCTGAGATGGTGCCACTGTACTCCAGCCTGAGCGAGACTCCATCTCATCAGGGATAGATAACACCTAGAAATATTCAATCACAGAAGTTTTCTTGGGATAAAATAACAGAATATGTCTGTAAGGTGAGCGACTAAACATCATGACCTATAAGGTCTACTCCTAGTATATGAATCTGTTTAAAATGAAGAAGCTTTAAGTCACAGAATCTAATTTATATTTTTAATTTGGGATGAACCTTAGGGGCTTAGTAAGAATTCATAAAGACAATGAATTTTGCTGAATGTGACATAGTCTTATAATGGTGTGTTGAAGGGAAGGAAGGGAAGTAAAATTTACAGAGGTTAGACAACCTGATAAGCTTGTTAGTGTCAGGGATGGGAATTCAGGTCTGCTAACTCCAAAGTCGAACACAATTCATCTTTAGAGATCTAGTTCACTTACACTGAAAACATTTCTTAAGAAATAGAGAAATCCTGGCCGGGCGCGGTGGCTCAAGCCTGTAATCCCAGCACTTTGGGAGGCCGAGACGGGCGGATCACGAGGTCAGCAGATCGAGACCATCCTGGCTAACCCGGTGAAACCCCGTCTCTACTAAAAAATACAAAAAACTAGCCGGGCAAGGTGGCGGGCGCCTGTAGTCCCAGCTACTCGGGAGGCTGAGGCAGGAGAATGGCGTAAACCTGGGAGGCGGAGCTTGCAGTGAGCTGAGATCCTGCCACTGCACTCCAGCCTGAGCGAGACTCCATCTCAAAAAAAAAAAAAAAAAAAAAAAAGAAATAGAGAAATCCTAATTAGTGGGCAAAATTTATTTATATCCCAGCAGAAACATAAATTGGCTCTACCATTTATTTTATAACAATGACATGCAAACATTTTAGTGATTCAATACTTACCTTTTATCTTCTTCAACTCCAAAGAAATTGTGTTAATATTTTTAATTACTTTGTCCACATTTAGCTTATGATCAGTAGCACTCTTCTTACCCATCTGATTTTAAAAGAAAAACAGAAACAATGTATATATCAGTATTTATGTGTACTTTTAAAATATTTACATTTTCAGTATTTCTATAAATCCGTTATTTCAGAAATAATTATAAAACAAATCTTTATAAATGGTAGAAATCTAACATCAAAAGGCATCAATGTTATGTAATATTTTTTCAACTGAAAACTCCAACTGGAATTCGTAGGATTCCTCAATCAAACCATATCCACAAGAGAGGGCTTACAATAGAAATAAATACGTCCCCTTTTCAGAAAGTCTCAGCCCTTATAAACTACCTTACAATTTAGCATTTGTGTTAAGATCTTCTCTAATTTTGTTTATGTAAGTCCATGTCTTTTTCTAACTTACTTTTGAATAACAGGGCCCACATATGATTTAAGTACACATTGAAACTCAAAAAGAATTTGATTATAATTCGTTAAGAGGGTAACTCAATTATAATCCACTAAGAGGGTGTCAAATGGCTAGTTTGGTTTTGGGAGTTAGGGTAACAGACATTTTGATTTTGGTTAACCGAAACGTATACATCAATGCATTACTATGTTATACAGTACCTGTATATAACCAATTGTGTCAGATACAAACATACAGAGAGGTGGTTCACTAGAAACTAGTCTTAAGCTGTTCAATCTCTCAAAATGACTTGAAAAACTTGATCTCAATTACCATACACAACTCCAGCAGTGTGAAAGGTAGGCATTTGTGGGTCAACCCGCTTCTCCAAAATAATGAAAACAAACTAACCTTTAAGTCAGTTCTTGCCTCTACCTTTTCCTGAGCAGGGAGAATTTCTCCAATTTCTCTCATTTCAGAGCCACTGTAAAAGAACTAATTTTGTTCCCCAGACATTAGTAAAATGTGCTTTGCATCTACCCCCAAGACCCTATTCTCCGGGATGTCAGTTATCTTCCCTGGACATGCCAAACCAAGAGTCAAGTTGGAAGGAAAAAGATGATATTTTAACATGGGGTGGAGTGATGGAATTAAAGAACTTCAAAAACGAGGGAGAAGTTTTCTAAAAAGAGTAAAGTAGAAACTAAATGGTTTTAGAGCCCAAGACAGCGGCCTCTCTCCACTCTGGGGTCCGGTTCTCCAAGGCCCTCGAGTGCCCAGCGGGTGGCTGGGGTGAGGGCACAGCAGCATGTGGCTGGGACTCGACTGGAGACAGGACAGGGTTGGGTCAAGCCCTCCCCAGGGAGCTCGGCCAGGCCACTACCTAGAAAGGAGAGGCGGCTCCAACAGCAATCCACCGGGAGTGGGGAAGCGGAGACCAGGCTGTAGGGGCCGAAGGAATGGGGGGTCAGAAGCCAGGATGCCCCGACTCAAGGCCTGATACCACTAAAGCTCCATCTCCGGGCCACAGGACGCCGCCCAGGCCCTCAGCCCCGCGGAGCCATCGTTAGCACCGCAGGTTCTACTCCGAAAGCCCAGCCTCCCCCTTGGCCCAACCGACACCCGGGAGGAGCCCCAGATCTTTGGGGCCCTCAGCGACCCAACCGCCCATGAAGACCCCCCAGATCTTTGGGGCCGTGAGCAGCCCAACCACCCGCTCAACGGCCAAAGATGGAGTCTGAGGCACCTGGAAGTTTCCACAGTCCTCGCCCTCCCACACAGGATTTGGAATGAACCTTAGGGGCTTGCTAAGTTTCCAGCCAAGTGGACAGGATTAGGGCAATGTAAAATGGCCTCAGAGTGACTCCGGCCTGGGGAGAGACACCAGCCGCCCGGCCCACCCAGCCAGACGCCCCCTTCTCCGCCCAACCGACACCCAGGGAGAGGCTCCGAGGCCAGCCTGGCCCACTGCCACGCGGGGTGTGAGGCCCCCAGGCCAGCCTGGCCCACTGCCCACCCGTTGGGTGGTGGAAGATAGAGCCTCGGGCAGCCTGGAAATTTCAGCGGTCTTCACCCTCCCAAACCAGATCGGGATCCTTCAAGACAGAGCAGCTGTCACTACCCACCCAGCCAACCGTCACCGAGGTTCTGACAGGAGCAGGGAGTCGACTGGGAAGGCGAAGAGGCGCCCCCTGATTGGCCAGCTTCTCCGCCTGCGGCATCCTGGGAGTTGTAGTCCCAGGCAAGGCCCCTACGGAGAAGGTTCTGGATACCGGGTTACAACGGACTTGCGCTGCCACTTGGGCGGAAAAAACACTGACATTCCCTGCCCGCTATGTGCCAGGCCTTTGCAACCCTTATCTCCATTTAAGTTGCACAAGATAGCGATAGCGTTAAGTGCGGACTCTGGAATAAAGCCGCTTGGGTTTGAATCCTATTCTGTCACCTGCTTAGTTGTATAAATGCAGATAAGCGATTAACCATTCAGAGTGCAGATGTCCTCACCTATCGTGTGAAACGATAATAACTGCCTTCCAGTATTAGTTTGAGGGTTAAGTTAGATAATGCATCAGAGGTGCTTGGCAGATAACAAGGGCCCAGAACTGTTAGCTATTATTATTCCTATAACATTTTATAGGAATGATAATAGTAAAGAGTAGCATGAATAAAGAGATGGAAGGTGGTTTTTTGCTAAGCCGAGAAGCTGGGATTCAAGCCGTCTTTTGCTTGACTCCAGAGGAAATCTCTGCCACTGCAACCTTTGAGGCAGGCCCAAAGATTTTTCTTGGTGCTCTGAGAAATTGAGGAGTTTAGGCCTTCAGCACAAGGTGCTATACGACAAGTGTTCGCTGTGTCTATGCCTCCCCTATAGTACACACCAGCCTCTGGAACCATCACCTTCTTGAAAGCCCACATCACAATTGTTGGGTATTTTATATCCAATTTCCTTCACTTTAACACTGCAGAATTTGTTGTCGAATGCAATTACCTAGATGAGGAGGGACAGAGGAGAACAGAGCTTAATGATAACCAGTTGTATGATCTTAGAAAAGAATATCTTCCTTATTCTGAGTCTCCGTTTCCTCATTTGTTTTCTTATGAGAGGGATGGGCTAAACCAGTAGTTCCTAAATTGTACTCACTGCTGGGCCACTGTTAAGATTCTGTGCTTATGGCACTCATATTATTATTACCTTCTCCTAAACACCTTATTTTCTCCTGTGGTTATCTACAGGGAGTTTCTAAAAGTGAAGAAGTTTTTAATGATAACCAGCTTCATAAAATACGAAGCTATATTATTACCTTCATATTTTAAATCTACTTATTTTTAAAATTTAAATCTACTTAAAAATATTTATATCACTAATGTTAAATAGAATAAAACACAAAGTCAGGCGAGGCACGGTGGCTCACGCCTGTAATCCCAGCACTTTGGGAGGCTGAGGCGGGTGAATCACGAGGTCGGGAGTTCGAGACCAGCCTAGCCAACATGGTGAAACCTCGTCTCTACTAAAAATACAAAAAATTAGCTGGGTGTAGTGGCAGCAGCCTGTAATCCCAGCTACTCGGGAGGCTGAGGCAGGAGAATCGCTCGAACCCAGGAGGCGGAGGTTGCAGCGAGCCGAGATCGCGCCACTGCACTCTAGCCCAGGCGACAGAGTGAGACTCCGTCTTAAAACAAACAAACGAACAAAACTCATAAAGTCATTGGAAAAATAAAGACAGTGAAAATAAGGCATATTTTAAATATGTATATATGCTCGCAGCCAGATACAGTGTTTTCTGCAGCCTGATCTTTTTTGTTAAAATGGGTTCTTGTTAAGTGTTAGAGAAGTGTTAAAGACAGTCTAGCACAAACCAAGACTTTCTTCTTGATATAATTAGAATGACTGAAAGAGTTAGAAGAGGAATACAAATATGGGGAGAACCAACATAGGGTAAAGCAACATTTATTTCCTAAATTAAGGACATTAATAATATAAAACCAAGCAAAAAGAACTGTCCTCGTTGTGTAATAAAAGCAAGGATAATTTAACATCAAAACAGAGGGAAGAAAATAAAAGGAGGAGGGTCTTAACTTCAGAAAAAGACTAGCTTGACAGAAAGCTTACAGGATATATCCTTTCTCCCCCTCATTTATTTTGATGATGAAGAAGTAAAAACTTCTTCACTTTTAGAAACTCCCTGTGGATAACTGCAGGAGAAAAAAAGGTGTTTAGGAGAAGTAGGTGGGTGGAGATAGCATTAAGACTGAGAATCCTAACAATCAAGTGATGGGCACTAGGGTTGGCAGGATGGAGCATCCCCTTGTCCCAAGCACACTGAACTCATTTTTGGGTTCATTGAGTGTTTGCAGGAGCTATCATAGCTCTACTACCTGTGAATTAGAATCCACAGGATTTTTTTTGGCAGAATCTAAAGGTCTTGGATCCATCCAAAATGCTGACTGCTTCTTATGAATACGTGCAAACTACTGCTATTTGGAATATATCATCATTAAGCCATTAGTTATTCACAAATAAAAATCAACTTTGTGTTCCTTTTAAATAAGAGTTCTAAGGAGGAAAAAAAAGAGATTAAAAAACTCAGAAAAAGATAGATTTAATAATGTATTTCTCTCTATAAAACTGTCTTGGAGCAGTAATGACTAATTATTGCAGTGTTTTCTCTCCTTAAGTAACTATAGATTTTGTGTCTTTGGATTTTTTTTCCCCCCTAATAAAATGAAAGCTTAAAAGCATGGTTTGCTACTCAGGGCTAGAGACTGTTACAGCTAAGGTCCTAAAAAAAAATCTATCTTCCTTAATAAGTTTGCAAATACAACACTATACTGGAACCCAACACAGGTTGCAGTTGTTGATTCTAATGTTAATCAAACAAAAGGATTTAAAAACTGGTAAATGCCCCCATAAAGAGAAAAAGGTGCTGCAGACCAGCAAGGTGATCAAGCATTTTATGGAGTTGCGTGTGTGCACCTTGGCTAATTTTATTACAGATTCTTGACATAAAGTCTTCATTTCCAGGAAAACAAATAGAGTAAATTATCTCACTTCTTCCACTAGATCTCAGGGTTCCCATTTTCCTCCTGTCCATTATCAATTAAGAATGCTGGCCTCTGTGTCTAGGGACTGGCTCCCTGCTGGAGCATCAACCCCCTTCTGAACCTGACTTTGTATACAACCCCTGTGTGCACTAATTTGGGAGGCAGCAACATAAGCACGCGTTGGATCATTACCTGGGGAGCATGACCAGCATTTGAAAGTTTAAGCAGATTCCTGTGTATCTGAACAACTATTGTGTTTCCCAAAGTCAATCACTTAAGGAAAGCAAGAAGCACGCTGACTTCTGCTACTCTGGTGTGAACTAAAAGCTGGAGTCCTTGTCCACTGTCTTCTTCGAGTAGCTGATGTTATATTATCCATTTTCTTATTATCCATTTTCTTTTTCTATATCATCCATTTTCTTTTTCTTTAGGAGAAACACTTCTGAAACACAAAAGGATATCATTAATGAGCATCCACATTGCTCCTAGGTTAACTGGAGCGTTTTCACTTCTAATTAAGAAATTACAGTTCTGTATCAATATTTCCCTCTGAACAGGGTCATGAGATGTAATATAGAACACCCAGTTAAATTTGAGTTCCAGAGAAACAACAGATACTTTTTTAGTATAAGTATGTCCTGAATGTTATATGGCCCCCAATTATACTCAAAATGTATTCGTTGTTGATCTGAGATTCAAATTTAATGGGAAATCCTGTATTTTTATTTGCTAAATTTGGCAACTCTCTACCCTAAACACTTCAGTCCTGAAGAAAGAAAAGCAAACAGTGTGAAACTTTGTAGATTCAGTAAATATGAAAGCCAAGAGAATGTTGAAGTTTTCCACTGTGATGTCCAAAGTAATAAAACAGATACACTTACTGTGCCGGAATCTGGCTCTCCCCCTCCGTCAGCGTCCCTGGAATGCAAGAGAGAAGCTAGGTTTTTGAAACAGCAGATGGAAGGAAGCTGACAGTATTCAACATGGCACTGTGTTTTGACAGTTGCTTGCTATGCCTTTTTGTCTGAAAACTCTTTGTGCTTGGCTTTTTAGAAGATGCCTTCATCTGGCAAGGCATATTTATGATACAATTTGTGTTAATTTCCAGAGATCCACCAATCAGAGAATACCTGTCTGTTCCAAAATAAAATATGTTTCTAATTCTCTCATGTCAGGCATCCATTCCCCCATAATACCTCCTCCGATTATTAAAGACATAGATCCTGGTGGATGTCATTTCCCTCTGGGCATTGCCCCACACCCCTACACTGTGCCCTCATCAGCATCCAGGCAATGAAGAATGAGCATCTTTATCAAAAGACATATTGTGTTCATGAAGTCAATTCCTATAGAATATAAGGGTGTACTCACGTTTTGTTATGAAAAAAAGAATGCATATGTGCATAAAAGCAAATCTGGAAGCGTATCTACCAAAATGTTTACAATGATTGTTAACATTAATGATAATGAGATTTGAGGGTGATTTTATTTCTTTGTGATTATTTATTTAGCCTAGTCATAATTTTAACCCCATCTCCTTCTCTGTATTTTAACCTCGCAGGTCATTTCTCAGCATGATACATCAATCCCTTTAAAGCAGAGCTTCTCAGACTCTGCAGCGCACAACTTAGGGAGCTTGTGAAAATGCAGATTCTGGGGCCCACCTCAAAGACTCAGCTTTAGTGAATCTAAGGTGAGGCTCCCTGAATCTGCATTTTTAATTCCCTGCCCTCCCAACTCCTTCTGTGTTAACCTAGGAAGTCTTTGGATCATGTTTGAGGAACACTGGCTGGCAGTTTCACTGGGCATCTTACACAAGTCTCAAACAATGGGACCGTGATTGAAATGTATTTTAGTTACTGATGCCAGAATTCAAGTGGGTTTTTTTTTCCCCTAAGTACTTATATAATTTACAGTCATCAATAAGAACCTCTTAATTAGGAAAAAATGTTTGGGATAGAACACCCCCCACCCCAGCCCAGCAGAATATGAAGACTCAATGTCTATATTCTCTAAAGTGAGAAGAAGGAGATGGGTATCCCAGTTTCAAGTTCTTTCTAATTTGGGTCTTTATTTCTTCTATTTCCTAGTAATTTTATTTATTTATTTATTTATTTATTTATTTATTTATTTAAGACAGAGTCTCGCTCTGTTGCCCAGGCTGGAGTGCAGTGGTGCAATCTCGGCTCACTGCAACCTCAGCCGCCTGTGTTCAAGCAATTCTCCTGCCTCAGCCTCCGGAGTAGCTGGCATTACGGGTATGCGCCACCATGTCCGCCTAAGTTTTTTTTTTTTAGTAGAGACAGGGTTTCACCATGTTGGCCAGGCTGGTCTCAAACTCCTGATCTCAAGTGATTCACCTGCCTCGGCCTCCCAAAGTGCTGGGATTACAGGCATGAGCCACCACACCTGACCGTATTTTACTTTATTTTATTTTTTGGTCTCTAGTTTTACTTGCCATCATAATGGAAAGTCTAGCTCTAAGATCTGAGATGTTCGATGATTTGTAAAATATTTATGTTTTTGTGTGTCAATTTCCATACTCAAAAGCCCTCTCTACTCCTGCTTCTACTCCTACTGCCCTGGTCCTGCCCTGGGTTGCAATAACATCCTTCCTGTCTGCTCCCACCACC